TTTAGGCTGGCCTGCCTACGATCCATCCTGGGATTAACCAGGCTGGATTGTGTGAGGAGCTCACATATCCTTGAAAGATCTGGACAAAGTCCCATCGGTGAGCTCCTCCGGCAGGCAAGGCTGCATTGGCTGGGTCAAGTAGCCCGCATGCCCAGCCACCACATGCCTAAACAGCTTTTGTTTGGCCGGATCGAGGGGGCTAAACAGGCGCGGCACGGGCTAGAGAACAGATGGAGTGATGTGGTACAGGAGGACGTGGAGCTGAATTGACTTGCCGATGACTGGTACCAGGGCTGTCAAGATCGGCCTCTGTGGAGGAGGCTCGTGAAGGACGCTACTGGGCAGTTGGAGGTATTCGCCCTCCAACAACAACGGAGGGCGAAGGAGCGATGCTCACAACAACGAGCGGAGTGCCGGGTGGCTAAAGCACAGCAGGTTGGCACAGTAGGGAGCACAGGTGGTGCATCAGCCAGTCATCTCAGTCATTCGACCCGTGGCACCTGGGTCAGCCCCGTGACCTGCTGCCAGCGGGCGTTCGACACTTCACGTAGCCTCAAGGTGCACATGGCCTGGCACAAGCGTCGTGGTGATGTCACCGCCACTTAGTGTCAAATGGCGGTTGTTGTTGTTGTGTTGTTGGCTGGGTGAGCGACGCTAACTACAACGAGCGGAGCGCGTGGCGGTTAAAACGCAGCGAGTTGGCACAGTAGGGGGCACAGGTGGTGCATCTGGCAGTAGTCATCTCAGTCAGTCGACCCGTGGCACCTGCTGGGTCTGTCCCCGTGACCTCCTGGTGCACCTAGCCTGGCACAGTAGGGGGGCACAGGTGGTGCATCTGGCAGGTAGCCATCTCAGTCAGTCGACCCGTGGCACATGCTGGGTCTGTCCCCGTGATCTCCTGGTGCACCTAGCCTGGCACAGTAGGGGGGGACACAGGTGGTGCATGTCTGTAGCCATCTCAGTCAGTCGACCCGTGGCACATGCTGGGTCTGTCCCCGGGACCTACTGGTGCACCTAGCCTGGCACAGTAGGGGGGCACAGGTGGTGCATCTGGCAGGTAGCCATCTCAGTCAGTCGACCCGTGGCACCTGCTGGGTCTGTCCCCGTGACCTCCTGGTGCACCTAGCCTGGCACAGTAGGGGGGGCACAGGTGGTGCATGTCTGTAGCCATCTCGGTCAGTCGACCCGTGGCACCTGCTGGGTCTCTCCCCGTGACCTCCTGGTGCACCTAGCCTGGCACAGTAGGGGGGCACAGGTGGTGCATCTGGCAGGTAGCCATCTCTGTCAGTCGACCCGTGGCACCTGCTGGGTCTGTCCCCGTGACCTCCTGGTGCACCTAGCCTGGCACAGTAGGGGGGGCACAGGTGGTGCATGTCTGTAGTCATCTCGGTCAGTCGACCCGTGGCACCTGCTGGGTCTGTCCCCGTGACCGCCTGGTGCACCTAGCCTGGCACAGTAGGGGGGGCACAGGTGGTGCATGTCTGTAGCCATCTCGGTCAGTCGACCCGTGGCACCTGCTGGGTCTCTCCCCGTGACCTCCAAGCCCCGCCGCGACAGCCTCCGAAACTCCACGCGATGACCCCCAAAGTGCACCTGGCCTGGCACGGGCGCCGTGGCGACGTCACCGTCACGTGGTGGCGTCATGGCGGTTGCATCCGTGCGTCCCAGCGGCACCCCCCCCCCCCCCCCTCCTCCTCTCCCCCTTTGTCCTCGCCGTGTGTGTCGCGAGTGTGGCCTTCCCGTCCCGGTCCCCCCTCTAGCCCCGACCGCTGCTGCCCGGGCTCCTCCGTCCGTTTCACCGTCCGCGGATCGACGGATCAATCAGAGTGGCGCGCTCTTGAAGCAGCGGTGGGGCTCTGGTGGACACGCGGGCAGGGGGCGCGAAGGCAGACACGGACGTAAGACGGGGCGCCCCCCGATCATCGTCCCCCGTTTACACGCGGGGTGACGCAGGGCCCCCACAGACCCCCACGGACCCCCACAGACCCCCACAGACCCCCACAGACCCCCACAGACCCCCACAGACCCCCACGGACCCCCACAGACACCCACAGACACCCACAGAGACCCCCACAGACACCCCACAGACACCCACAGACCCTCACAGACACCCACAGACCCCACACAGACCCCCCACACACCCTCACAGACCCCAACAGACTCCCACAGACCCCCCACAGACCCCCACAGACCCCCACAGACCCCCCACAGACCCCCACAGACCCCCCACAAACCCTCACAGACCCCCACAGACCCCCCACAGACCCCTACAGACACCCACAGACCCTCACAGACCCCCACAGCCCCCCACAGCCCCCCACAGACCCCCACAGACCCCCCACAGACCCCCACAGACCCCCACAGACCCCCACAGACCCACACAGACCCACACAGACACCCACAGACACCCACAGACCCCCCCACAGACCTCCACAGCCCCCCACAGACCCCCACAGCCCCCCCACAGACCCCCACAGACCTCCACAGCCCCCACAAACCCTCACAGACCCCCACAGACCCCACAGACCCCCACAGACCCCCACAGCCCCCCACAGCCACCCACAGACACCCACAGACCCCCTCAGACCCCCACAGACCCCCCACAGACCCCCACAGACCCCCGCAAAACCTCTACAGACCCCCACAGACCCCCACAGACACCGACAGACCCTCACAGACCCCCACAGACCCCCACATGCCCCCCACAGACACCCACAGACCCCCTCAGACCCCCACAGACCCCCACACAGACCCCCACAGACCCCCACGGACCCCCACGGACCCCCACGGACACCTACGGACCCCCACAGACCCCCACAAACCCCCAAAGACCCCCACAGACCCCCACAGACCCCCACGGACACCCACGGACCCCCACAGACCCCCACAAACCCCCACAGAGCCTCACAGACCCCCACAGACCCCCACAGACCCCCACAGCCCCCCACAGACCCTCACAGACCTCCACAAAGGTCCATAAACTTCCACGGGGCTCCACGGATCCCGTCTTGCGAAGGTCCCTCAGAGTCTCCCTCAGAGTCTCCCTCCGAGGCGTCGCGAGACGCTGTGGACCAGAGGGTTACAATCATCGTCACCATCACTATCAGCGTCATCGTCAGCCGTGGGTCCGTCCACTGCTGCATGAAGGCCTCCGTCACAGACCTCCTGTCACGGGCACAGACCCAGCAGGTGCCGCGGGTCGACTGACTGAGATGGCTACTGGCAGATGCACCACATGTGCCCTCCATTGTGCCAGGCTAGGTGCAGGAGGTCACGGGACAGACCCAGCAGGTGCCATGAGTCGACTGACTGAGATGGCTACTGGCAGATGCACCACCTGTGCCCCCTATGATGCCAACTTGCTCATTTTATCCGCCCGGCGCTCCGCTCGTTGTTGTGGGCGTCGCTCCTACGCCCTCCGTTGTTGTTGGAGGGCGACTGCCTCCAACTGCCCAGTGGCGTCCTTCACGAGCCTCCTCCACAGAGGCCGATCTTGACACCGCTGGTACCAGTCATCGGCAAGTCCACTCAGCTTCACGTCCTCCTGTACCACATCACTCCATCTCCTCTCTAGCCCGTGCCGCGCCCGTTTAGCCCCCTCGATCCGGCCAAACAAAAGCTGCTTGGGCATTCGTTGGCTGGGCATGCGGGCTACATGACCCACTGTGTACTCACCACACACTCACCACAACACTCACCACCACACTCACCACCACACTCACCACCACCCTACTCACCACCACACTCACACTGCACAATCAGCACCACATCCACCACCCTACTCACCACCACACCCACCACCCTACTCACCACCACACTCACCACCACACTCACCACCCTACTCACCACAACACTCACCACCACACTCACCACCACACTCACCACCACACTCACCACAACACTCACCACCACACTCACCACCATACTCACCACCACACTCACCACCCTACTCACCACCCTACTCACCACCACACTCACCACCACACTCACCACCACACTCACCACCACACTCACCACCCTACTCACTACCACACTCACCACCACACCACCACACTCACGACCCTACTCACCACCACACTCACCACCACACTCACCACCCTACTCACCACCACACTCACCACCCTACTCACGACCACACTCACCACCACACTCACCACCACACTCACCACCCTACTCACCACCACACTCACCACCACACTCACCACCACACCCACCACCACACTCACCATCACACTCACCACCACACTCACCACCCTACTCACCACCACACTCACCACCACACTCACCACCACTCTCACCACCACACCCACCACCACACTCACCACCACACTCACCACCACACTCACCACCCTACTCACCACCACACTCACCACCCTACTCACCACCACACTCACCACCACACTCACCACCACACTCACCACCCTACTCACCACCACACTCACCACCACACTCACCACCCTACTCACCACCACACCCACCCGCTCGCCCGACCGCCACCTCCACCATCTTCGCCGCAGAACTTCCGACGGCAGCCGACATCGCAGGCACCGCCACCGGCGTCATCGTCGTCGTCGCCGTCGTCATCATCGTCGTCACCGGTGACGACAACGGTGACGACGTCATCGACGATGTCGCTGCGAGCGACGCTGACGATGACGTCACAGCGGCGGTTGAGACGTCAGCTGATGACGCGGCAGAGGCTGCTGTGGTTGGTGGCAACAGGGGATGACCATCGCCAACACCGCCACCTCCACCACCACCGGCACCACCGCCTCCACCACCACCTCCTCCACCACCTCCACCGCCACCTCCTCCTCCTCCACCACCACCACCTCCTCCTCCACCACCACCACCTCCTCCTCCACCACCTCCACCGCCACCTCCACCACCGCCACCTCCTCCACCACCTCCACCGCCGTCCCTCCCTGCGTCTGCCAGGGCCTCCTCCACCTCCTCTTCCACCTCCTCCTCCACTTCCTCCTCCACCTCCTCTTCCACCTCCTCCTCGTCGTCCTCGTCGTGTCGCTGCAGGCGGCTCTGAGCCTCGCGCGCCAACAGCGCCTCCTGTAGGCGGAGCTTGAGACGCCGCTCACGACGCAGGCGCTTGTGGAGTGCCGCTGTGGGTGGGTGGGATCACTGACGGTGTCACTGTGTCACTGTGTCACTGATGGTGTCACTGTGTCACTCACTGTGTCACTGTGTCACTCACTGTGTCACTGTGTCACTGATGGTGTCACTGTGTCACTGATGGTGTCACTGTGTCACTCACTGTGTCACTGTGTCACTCACTGTGTCACTGACTGTGTCACTGTGTCAATGTGTCACTGATGGTGTCACTGTGTCACTCACTGTGTCACTCACTGTGTCACTCACTGTGTCACTGTGTCACTCACTGTGTCACTGTGTCACTGTGTCACTCACTGTGTCACTGACTGTGTCACTGTGTCAATGTGTCACTGATGGTGTCACTGTGTCACTCACTGTGTCACTGTGTCACTGACTGTGTCACTGTGTCACTGTGTCACTCACTGTGTCACTGTGTCACTGACTGTGTCACTGTGTCACTGTGTCACTCACTGTGTCACTGTGTCACTGACTGTGTCACTGTGTCACTCACTGTGTCACTCACTGTGTCACTGTGTCACTCACTGTGTCACTGTGTCACTGTGTCACTGATGGTGTCACTGTGTCACTCACTGTGTCACTGTGTCACTGTGTCACTGATGGTGTCACTGTGTCACTCACTGTGTCACTGTGTCACTGACTGTGTCACTGTGTCACTGTGTCACTAACTGTGTCACTGTGTCACTGACTGTGTCACTGTGTCACTCACTGTGTCACTCACTGTGTCACTGTGTCACTGTGTCACTCACTGTGTCACTGTGTCACTGTGTCACTGATGGTGTCACTGTGTCACTCACTGTGTCACTGTGTCACTGATGGTGTCACTGTGTCACTCACTGTGTCACTGTGTCACTGACTGTGTCACTGTGTCACTGTGTCACTCACTGTGTCACTGTGTCACTGACTGTGTCACTGTGTCACTCACTGTGTCACTCACTGTGTCACTGTGTCACTGTGTCACTCACTGTGTCACTGTGTCACTCACTGTGTCACTGATGGTGTCACTGTGTCACTGTGTCACTGACTGTGTCACTGACTGTGTCACTGTGTAACTGTGTCACTGATGGTGTCACTGTGTCACTGTGTCACTGACTGTCTCACTGTGTCACTGTGTCACTCACTGTGTCACTCACTGTGTCACTGTGTCACTCACTGTGTCACTGTGTCACTGTGTCACTCACTGTGTCACTGTGTCACTGACTGTGTCACTGTGTCACTGTGTCACTCACTGTGTCACTGTGTCACTCACTGTGTCACTGTGTCACTGTGTCACTCACTGTGTCACTGTGTCAATCACTGTGTCACTCACTGTGTCAATGTGTCACTCACTGTGTCACTGTGTCACTGTGTCACTCACTGTGTCACTGTGTCACTGATGGTGTCACTGTGTCACTCACTGTGTCACTGTGTCACTGATGGTGTCACTGTGTCACTCACTGTGTCACTGTGTCACTGTGTCACTCACTGTGTCACTGACTGTGTCACTCACAGTGTCACTGTGTCACTGTGTCACTCACTGTGTCACTGTGTCACTGTGTCACTCACTGTGTCACTGTGTCACTGACTGTGTCACTGTGTCACTGTGTCACTCACTGTGTCACTGACTGTGTCACTCACAGTGTCACTGTGTCACTGTGTCACTGATGGTGTCACTGTGTCACTGTGTCACTCACTGTGTCACTGTGTCACTCACTGTGTCACTGTGTCACTGTGTCACTCACTGTGTCACTGTGTCACTCACTGTGTCACTCACTGTGTCACTGTGTCACTGTGTCACTCACTGTGTCACTGACTGTGTCACTCACAGTGTCACTGTGTCACTGATGGTGTCACTGTGTCACTGTGTCACTCACTGTGTCACTGTGTCACTCACTGTGTCACTGTGTCACTGTGTCACTCACTGTGTCACTGTGTCACTCACAGTGTCACTGTGTCACTCACTGTGTCACTCACTGTGTCACTGTGTCACTGTGTCACTCACTGTGTCACTGACTGTGTCACTCACAGTGTCACTGTGTCACTCACTGTGTCACTGTGTCACTGATGGTGTCACTGACTGTGTCACTGACGGTGTCCCTGTGTCACTGACGGTGTCACTGTGTCACTGACTGTGTCACTGTGTCACTGACTGTGTCACTGTGTCACTGATGGTGTCACTGATGGTGTCACTGTGTCACTGATGGTGTCACTGTGTCACCGTGTCACTGTGTCACTGACGGTGTCACTGATGGTGTCACTGTGTCACTGACTGTGTCACTGTGTCACTGATGGTGTCACTGATGGTGTCACTGTGTCACTGATGGTGTCACTGTGTCACTGTGTCACTGTGTCACTGACGGTGTCACTGATGGTGTCACTGTGTCACTGACTGTGTCA